ATCAGGTCGGTCGATAAGGAGGTCGGTCGATAATCAGGTCGGTCGATGAGGAGGTCGGTCGATGATAATCAGGTCAGTCGATGATAATCAGGTCGAGCGATAATCAGGTCGATGATAATCAGGTCGGTCGATAAGGAGGTCGGTCGATAAGGAGGTCGGTCGATGATAATCAGGTCGAGCGATAATCAGGTCGGTCGATGATAATCAGGTCGGTCGATGATAATCAGGTCGGTCGATAAGGAGGTTGGTCGATAAGGAGGTCGGTCGATAATCAGGTCGGTCGATAAGGAGGTCGGTCGATGATAATCAGGTCGGTCGATGATAATCAGGTCGGTCGATGATAATCAGGTCGGTCGATGATAATCAGGTCGAGCGATAATCAGGTCGGTCGATAATCAGGTCGGTCGATGATAATCAGGTCGAGCGATAATCAGGTCGGTCGATAATCAGGTCGGTCGATGATAATCAGGTCGGTCGATGATAATCAGGTCGGTCGATAATCAGGTCGGTCGATGATAATCAGGTCGGTCGATAATCAGGTCGGTCGATAATCAGGTCGGTCGATGATAATCAGGTCGAGCGATAGTCGCAGTCTAAATGAAAAGTCCAACTAGTAAAACAATAAAATAAAGATATTTAATAACTCCTGACTTGAGTTCTGTTCTTTATTTAAAGGTTTGTTGTAGTGTTTGAAGTGTGGCTGTATAAACGAGGCTCCATTCATCACACTCACTTATTTAAGCTTCAGATCTCAGTAGAAACACAGTCACTCAGTGGAGGGGGCACCTCTTCATGTTGATCTTTGACTCATCTAAGAAACACTTGTTGGATTAAATATGATGCCGAATTCACCAGCAGACCCAAACGACTTGGAACATGTATTCAATCATATCTCACACGTTGTGTATCCTTGTTCATAATCGGTATCCCTTGAAATGTGAATGTTTCTGAACGGAGTCTGGTGTGTCGGGAGTGTTAACTCTCAGCTTGTTTTTTTTAAAAGTTGCATAAATATCGTGGCGGGAGTTTTATCTTCACGTAAACAACAAACACGTCTCTACTTAATGAATACATAAACGTAATGAACGTTTTTCTCACCACGTCTGAGTCACTGTTCACATGCTGGAACATCAGAGAAGACAAAACGATCCCGGAGACCCGGATGGTCGGATCCGCCATCATGGTTGTTGACGTCGGTGCGGTCGGATGACATCACGAGCGTCACTGAGGCGCAACGCAGCCGCAGTAAAAACCTGCGTTTTTCCAACGCAGAGGCTAACCGTCATGCTAATGCGTCATGCTAACGGTGGGGGCGTGTTTTAAACAGCGACTCTTCGGCTTCACGTTGAGACACAAGAAGAAGAAACAGTTTGTTTAGTTTTAAAAGGACGTTTAACTCCACTGTGACTCTCAGGTATGTATTCAATCATTATATATACATATACACATATATACATAGATACAGTATCTATGTATATATGTGTTGTTGTTGTTGTTGTTGTTTACTTCGACTATCGGTATTTTCCGTTAGAAGAACATTTACTACTTAAATACAATCAGCGAAGAAGTATCTTCTGAAAAATACAAATACAACTATGTACAAGTACACAAGTACTATCAGTCAAAAATACTCATGTAAAATGTCTCCTCTCAGAATTTTGAGTTATTATATTTATTTTAATCATAATTCTGGATTATTATTATATTTATTATGTTTAGTGATGCATTAACATATTATATGTTATAGCTGAGATATAATGTATATTTTATGCTGTATATAAATATATAATAGACTATAAAGATGTACAAAGTTGAAACGTATTTTACAAGATAATCATGCGTTTAGGACAAATAAAAAGTACAATATTTACCTGTGAAGATCTCGTGTATAAGAAGTATAAAATAACGCAACATAAAGTATAGTTCAGTGAAGTACTTGACTAAATACATTCCACTACTACTGAGTACAATCAACTTGTACTCAGGTACTTGTACTTTAATACTCGTTTATTTAGTCTGTGTACTTCAACACCTGTTTGTATAAAGTTGGATTTAAGCTTAACAACATAGTTAGTTAGTTCCACACATTTAAAAAAAAATGCATAATTAATTATTATGCAAATGTTTTGAATTATTAATTTGTTGTTTTGTCTATAAAACGTCAGAAAATGCTTAAAAATGACCCAAAGATATACAGTTTACTGTGATATAAAATTAATTATAAAAACTGACTAATGTCGAATAATGAATTCAAAGTTTCTGCCCTAAATATTATTCATTTGATGGAAATATAAAAACTTATAAATCTGAGAAAAAAATAACTTTTCACTTTTTCTAGTTGATCGTTTGAGCTTCAAGAAGCTGAGAGTCCAACATGAACATGTTGACCTGATGAAAAGTCAATAAAGTTATTACAGTTCATCAGCATCCATCCCATAATGGTGAAATGCTCTAAACGGTCCTTTGAATGCATCGAGTGTTGTGCGGCTGGTTTCCAGACGATGCCGTGAGTCGTGAGGCCGCTCAGCTGTCAGCGATGGACGACTGGTGCTCGGTGGCCGTGGGACTCTTCCAGGTGTGGATGTTCGTGGTGATCTTCCTCATCATGCTGCCCGCCATGTTCGGCCTCTCTCTGGGGGTCACCGGGGTCTACATCCGGATCCTGGTCCGGATCCTGGAGGTAACAGACCTCTTCACTTCTTACTCAACATGTTTGAACAGTTATGACACGAGGTCAGTAACGTGTGTTTGCAGTGGGCCACGCTACGGATCCAGAGAGGCCGGCAACAGCAGCCCAGTGTTCCTGTTCCTCTCCCCGACGGTGAGTCATCACGAATAATAATCATCAATAATCATCAATAATCATCAATAATAATCAAACGTATCGATAAGAACACACACCAGAGCTACAGGAGTTTAAAAAACACATAAAAATGTTTAAAATAAAGACTTATATTAATGTTTAAAATAAAGACGTATATTAATGTTAAAAATGAGACTTATATTAATATTTAAAATAAAGACTTATATTAGTGTTTAAAATAAAGACTTATAAAAATGTTTACACGACAGACATATTAATGTTTAAAATAAAGACTTATATTAATATTTAAAATAAAGACTTATATTAATGTTAAAAATAAGACTTATAATAATATTTAAAATAAAGACATAAAAATGTTTAAAAGAAAGACATATTAATGTTTAAAATAAAGACTTATATTAATATTTAAAATAAAGACATATTAATATTTAAAATAAAGACTTATATTAATGTTAAAAATAAGACTTATATTAATATTTAAAATAAAGACTTATATTAGTGTTTAAAATAAAGACTTATAAAAATGTTTACATGACAGACATATTAATGTTTAAAATAAAGACTTATAATAATATTTAAAATAAAGACTTATAAAAATGTTTAAACGAAAGACATTAATATTTAAAATAAAGACTTATATTAATGTTAAAAATAAAGACTTATATTAATGTTAAAAATAAAGACTTATATTAATATTTAAAATAAAGACTTATATTAATGTTAAAAATAAAGACTTATAAAAATGTTAAAAATAAAGACATATATTAATGTTAAAAATAAAGACATATTAATGTTTAAAATAAAGACTCATAAAAATTTGTTAAAGACTTATGTTAATATTTAAAATAAAGACTTATATTAATGTTTAAAATAAAGACTTATATTAATATTTAAAATAAAGACTTATATTAATATTTAAAATAAAGACTTATATTAATGTTTAAAATAAAGACATATTAATATTTAAAATAAAGACATATTAATGTTTAAAATAAAGACTTATATTAATGTTTAAAATAAAGACATATTAATGTTTAAAATAAAGACTTATATTAATGTTAATAGATAATAAATAACAAAAGAAAAAAGGCTAATTAAAACAAATGTATAAATAAAACATATAAAAATGAATTAAATTGATATAAAATATAAAACAATAAATTAAAGTGTAATGATTTTTTTTTTAACTCAGTAAACTGAATTTGTGAGTTTTGAACTGTTGGTTCAATAAAACCAGAAATCTGAAGACGTCACTTTAATGAGTTTAATCGATTCATCCAGAAAATAATCAGCAGATACTTTTTATTAATTGTGTTCAGATGAGGTTTGTAACAGATGATATATTAATCTAATATTATTATTTATTATTTATGTATTTGTTTTTTGTTTAAATCATTTCCATGTTGTCTGAAATGGTTCATCCTCTAATTAAATATAAATTAATCAAATAAATTGATGATTAAAATAATCGTTCAGATTAAAACAAGTGAAGAAATAAACTTGTGAAACAGATTCAGGATCAGCAGCTCTACTTCCTGTCAGGACGTCAGGTCATGTGACGTTTCAGATGCAGCGATCATGTGACGCTGTGTGTGTGTGTGTGTGTGTGTGTGTGTGTGTGTGTGGTCAGTTCCAGCCTCTGCAGCATGAACAACACGTGTTCATAGTCTCAGGATGAAGAAACACACAGAGGAATGTTTTCTGTTCACCACTTTAACAGATGTATCTCCATAATGTCATTATATATAATATATAAATATATATATCATTATAGTAGTATATGTATTGTTATAATATATATATATATATATATATAATTATCATTACAATAATATATATTATATATTTTATATAATATATCGTAACCCCCGGTGCTGTGGTTGTAACCCAGGTGCTGTGGTTGTAACCTCGGTTCTGTGGTTGTAACCTCGGTGCTGTGATTGTAACCCCGGTGCTGTGGTTGTAACCCCGGTGCTGTGATTGTAACCCCGGTGCTGTGGTTGTAACCCCGGTGCTGTGATTGTTACCGCTGTGGTTGTTACCCCGGTGCTGTGATAGTAATCCCCGGTGCTGTGGTTGTAACCCCGGTGCTGTGATAGTAACCCCCTTTGTTGCGATTGTAACCCCGGTGCTGGGATAGTAACCTCCAGTGCTGTGGTCTTAACCCCCGGTGCTGTGGTTGTAACCCCGCTGCTGTGGTTGTAACCCCGGTGCTGTGATTTTAACCCCCGGTGCTATAGTTGTAACCCCAGTGCTGTAATTTTAACCTCCTGTGTTGAGATTGTAACCCCGGTGCTTGGATAGTAACCTCCAGTGCTGTGGTTGTAACCCCGGTGCTGTGATTGTGTCCCAGGGATCATTGAGAGAGCGGGGGGCTCGATGGAGGAGGAGATGGGGCAGCTGAGGAGCTCGGGGTCTCTGGAGTTTTCTCTGAGCGACGCCTTCTACTTCTACCAGAAAGGTCTGGAGAGCATCATTGACGACCAGGTGACCCAGCGCTTCTCCTCCGAGGAGCTGGCCTCCTGGAACCTCCTCACCAGAACCAACCAGAACTTCCGCTACATCAGCCTCCGCCTCACCGTCATCTGGGGGGTCGGCGTCTTCGTCCGCTACTGCGTCCTCTTCCCCCTCAGGTCTGAGACCAAACCTCCATCTGGTTCTAAAGAGGTCTGAGGCAAAACACCCTCTGGTTCTAAAGAGGTCTGAGAAAAAAGGTCTCTCTGGATCTAAATAGGTCTGAGACAAAAGGTCCCTCTGGTTCTAAAGAGGTCTGAGACAAAAGGTCCCTCTGGTTCTTCACCAGAGAACACATAGAACATATTTATTGATCTCTGATCAGCAACAGAAGGACTCTGTAACGTCAGCTGGTCTCTTCTCTTCCTTCAGGATCACGTTGGCCACCATTGGTCTTTCATGGCTCGTGATCGGAACCAGTCTGCTGGGATTTCTGCCTGAGAGCAGGTACGGCAACATAGCAACCAGGCACAGCACAGGCAACCAGACACAACAAGATATGGCAATGCAGCAACCAGACTCAGCAGCACAGCAACCAGACAGAGCAACACAGAAACAAGCAACCAGACACAGTTCTACGTTTTAGAACTAATATACGGTTCTTTCTCTATATAATATGAATAATACTAATAAATAAATAATAACTGTATGTTTCAGTGTGAAGACTTGGCTCAGTGAACTCGTCCATCTGACCTGTTACAGGATCTGCTCCAGAGGACTGTCAGCCACCGTCCGCTACCACAACAAGTCAGTTATTGATTATTGATCACATGATTAGGTTTCTATCTCAACGGCATCACGTTCCTTTTGTGTCTGCAGAGAGAACAAACCTCAGAAAGGAGGAATATGTGTCGCTAATCACACGACGCCCATCGACGTGGTGATTCTGGCCAACGACGGCTGCTACGCCATGGTGAGCGCCATCCCGTCTCTGACATCACATGTGTGGATGCGGTGATGTCACTGCTCTGCTCCCTGTTCCGTCCTCAGGTGGGTCAGATCAACGGAGGTCTGATGGGGGTCCTCCAGAGGTCCATGGTGAGGTCGTGTCCTCACGTCTGGTTCGAGAGGTCGGAGATGAAGGACCGCCACACTGTGACCAGCAGGTGAGGATTCACTGCAGCGGATGCAAAGATTCATCTTTATTGAACACATAAATTCAGTCAGAATTGATAAAGACTAACTGGATCAGGACTTCTGCTTGTTTTCTTACTTCATAAGTTAATGAGACAAGTTAGTGGTGTCATCGCTGAATTTTGTTCTCAACAGACCAACTTTGTGATTTTAAATTAAAAAGCTTTAAATCTTTATATGATATTATATTTTATACACACAGTATAATCAAGTCTCTTCTTCTCAACAGTTATAAAGAGCATTAACTAGTTTTCTAATTAAAAGTTGACTGCAAATTTCTAACTGAGAACTAAGTGGAAACAAAGTGGGAATTAACTTAAAATTAACTGGGAACTAACTGGAATCCTACTTAGAACTAAGTGGAAACTTACTGGGAACTAACTGGGAACTAACTGGGAACTAAATGGGAACTTACTGGGAACTAACTGGGAACTAAATGGGAACTAACTGGGAACTTACTGGGAACTTACTGGGAACTAACTGGGAACTATCTGGGAACTTACTGGGAACTAACTGGGAACTAACTGGGAACTTACTGGGAACTTACTGGGAAATAACTGGGAACTTACTGGGAACTAACTTAAAACTAACTATGAACTACTGGGGAACTAAGTGAGAACTAAGTGGGACTTGGCCAAGGTTTCCGTGGCGGATCAAGAAAGGAGATGCTGGTCAGTAAACGTGTCCTCTGTCTGCAGGTTGAGAGCTCACGTTGCAGCTAAGACCAAACTTCCCATCCTGATATTTCCTGAAGGTCAGAGTGTGCTGATGTGATGATAATGATGATGGTGATGATGATGGTGGTTTTATGGTTTTATAACTTCTGTCTCTCGGTGAAACAGGAACCTGCGTGAACAACACGTCCGTCATGATGTTTAAGAAGGGAAGCTTTGAGATCGGAGGGACCATATACCCGGTCACCATCAAGGTGAGACAGAGGAACCAGGTCTTTAGAGGACTAAAGTACCAGACTGAGACGTCCTGAAGAGGAAGAGGGGTTGTTTTAAAACATGTCAGCTAGACTTTCACCTGGTTCACTGGAACCCACCTGGTGACATCACTTCCTGTCTGTGTCTCAGTACGATGCTCGCTTCGGAGACGCCTTCTGGAACAGCAGCAAATACAACATGGTGAGTTACCTGCTGAGGATGATGACCAGCTGGGCCGTCGTAGTCAACGTGTGGTACCTCCCTCCCATGACCAGACAGGTACACCTCCACCTACACTGTTACATCACTTCACCTGTTACATCACTTCACCTGTTACACCACTTCACCTGTTACAACACTTCACCTGTTACACCACTTCACCTGTTACACCACTTATCCTGTT